GGGGACGTTGTTTTATCGAATTCGCTTTTGTTTTTCGCACGTTTTGTTTGATTTGAATTGACGCGGATGACCGGAAGGAGGAAATATGGTCGACGTCATCGAAACGATGACGCACTGCAACGTGTTTTTTATACATTTTAAACTTGGAAGAAGCGAATATAAACGGTACGCGGTCCATGGTGGCCGTGTGGTCGCCGCCGGTGGTCGGCGGGTTTGACGAAACCGAGTGACCAACTCGCGTTGGCCACGTAGCTATCATTAACTGCCGTCGCGTTTCACTGGCGACCGTATGACGCTGGGCCTGGACGACGACGACGGGGTGGCGGCGGCTGACGATCGTTTCTGCGACAGCGGCGGCGATTCGGTGTCCATCGGTACAGACGACGAGTGGTCGTCGTAGTCTTCTTTGTACTGCGGACCCTCGGACAGTGTCTCTTCGATGATCACRAAGATCTTGTCTTTGTCCAGCTGTGAGTGAAACAAAACAACCGATTAATCGTTTTGCTAATCTAACCCGACCTAACCTAACCTGCGATCAGCTGATAATACAAAATACTAATAAAAACGATSAATAGTGCTCGTCAGACCATCAGAGACAATGTCGTATTTGACTAAGTMCCCTGTATGGGAGGCTAGGGAGGGGTGAACATATAATACCCTAGTTTGAATTCTGCCCTATTTATTTTACAATGAACTGTTTTCGTTTTAGATTCAGAGTGGAGCGAGGAATGTATTGATTTTACCAAGATGTGTGTGTTTTTTTTCTGTGCCTGTAATCGCGTTATGAGACAGTAAAAATGCTTCGATTTTCGACTTCAGTACCTTGTTAGATCAGAAAATGAATCTAGTTGGTGCTTTGGGGAGTCAAAAGTAACAAATCGATTATTCAAGTCATGGGGAGTGGCATCTTAAATACGCCACTGATCAGAGAGGACATGAAACGAGAATATCATATTTAGTCGAAAACATTGTTTGTTTACTGCAGTCGTGTACACACTAATATATACACGACTTCCAAGGTTTTCTATTTTTATTATACTTATAACCTAAATCCACTCTAACTTCTAGGTTCGATTAGAATAAGGAATAACGACGATTGTTTTGATATACCTAACAATCATCCTGCATAAGCAGCTGATATTAGAAATTAGTAAAAATAATTCTCAAAACACAAAACATTATTTTTTAGTATAAATGTACAAAAATCACCACAGAAATTATTTAGCTTCACAAGATATGAATTAAATGTAATACATGGGTATAGTGATCTACAATCCATACAAAACTTTTTTAAATCGGTGTGGTAAAATCAGTTTTTTACCTTAAAGGAATGTCGGTAAAAAAATAGACCAGTCTGCTTGTCATCCCCCTCCCAGCATCCACACTAATAATGGGCATCATTGGTTCCATTATTGAATAAAACTAACCTCATTGATGAAGCCAAAGTGCACCAATTCTTGAGAGAGAGACAGCGCCGTGTCCGCGTCCGTTATGGAACACGTCAGTTGACGATTCATCTTGTCGTCCATCCGCAGCAGAATTGTCATCTGTGTGGAATAACAATTGTATTATTAACGGTTCGTTCTTCATTTCTATAGGCTGATTTTATTAAGTTTTATACTATACGAAATTTATCGATATTAAATATTATATTATTATGATGTGCATTACRTGAATCGGTTTATATACTTAACTAATAACACGATAATGAATCGCCGTTATATAAACCGATATTGTTAAAATGTCTACCGAAGAGGTATAGGAATGGAGGATCCCATAAACCAAGTACTAATTTCGTACGTTGGGAGATTAAAATGTTTATACTGTATAGTAATTCATCAATAGATATATTGATATAGGTACATTGAGAACGGCTGGACCAATTTGGCTTAAAGTTGTTCGTAATCGTCAGGAGAAGGTTTTTTACGAAAGAAAATGTTGTTTTTGTGGAATTTTTTTAAATTGCCCAGGAATATAATAATCATAATAAATAATAAACACATATTTTTGTTTATTTTAAGATTGCTATCGCAGGTTATACGATTCAGTGTAGATGAATAAGAAATTAGCAGTTTGTTATCAGGTACCTATACCAATTTTAAAAATCGTTTCACCTCAACAAAGCTAAAAATGCGAAAAATTATTATGATTGGATGTAATTTTAATCTTGTGTATTTTATTTTATATGACTGTTTTAAAATCTTTAATAGAGATTAAGATAGGGTAAATCCACGAGAAGTTTTGAACATAGCTACACAAATTTTGAATCTTAAAGAGTTGGCATTTTTAAAGGACATCAAAGTGCCCGTGGATCAGCTTGTATTATAGGTATATATTAGTATTATATAATAATATACCGACCATAAAGTCATTTTGAGCATCGTCACGCGGTTTGATGTTACACATCATGTTGACGATACGTCTGACTTCGACGTCGATCGGACCGGAACTGCTYCTATCCGACGGGATGGATTGGTCCATGGAACCGGTCGGACTCTGCGGTTGGTAAGTGGTAAGCCGCACAGGTCCAGCTTCCAGGGCGTATGCAGTCAACGGGTAAATGCCAAATCTGCATTTATGATTGAAAAAATACAGAGACGGACGTTATACATTGTGTTAAAATATAAAATACCTACAGCACACGATTTTAACAAAAAAACAGTAACTATACAAATATGCGGTTTGTGAGAATGTGACGGTCAGAACTCGGAAGTAAGAAATATTGTTATATATTGTTATATAATATAGGTATATGTTTGCATGCCCCAGGGCTCGGTTCTCGGACCAGCCTTGTGGAATGTCTTTTACGACGATTTATTGAACATGGAAACCCCTTCGGGTGTCCAACTCGTGGCATTTGCCGATGATGTGTGCGTCATAGGMATCGCCCRCACAGGCGAGGCAGCCRCTACCCTGCTTAATCCTGTGTTAGCTAAGGTATCGGCTTGGATGGARCAAAACGGACTGAAGTTAGCTCCCACCAAAACTGAGGCTGTAGTCCWGACAAGGAAAAACAAATATGACAACCCGGAGCTTCTGGTTGAAGGACACGTTATTCCTATCAAATGATCAATGCGATACCTTGGTGTTGAGATCGACACTCGGCTCTCTTTCACCAAACACATACAACAGGCCTCCCGTAAGGCTACCGACTCAGCGACAGCCATAGGMAGACTGATGCCCMACATCGGCGGACCGTCGCAAAGCAAAAGAGCGCTTCTTGGCACTGTGGCAAACAGTAAGATGCTGTACGCCTCGCCAACCTGGGCCGTCCGCGAGACAAAAACGGCTAAGAATCGCGCAGAATTGGCAAGAGCGCAGAGGGCCGTCGCACTCCGCATAACACGTGCCTACAGGACAGTCTCGGCCGACGCTTCGTCAGTATTGGCCTCAATGCTACCTGCAGACCTGCTAGCAACAGAAAGGGCTAGAGTTCGGGTTCGCCTGGACGACCAGACTGACGTCGTCCCGAACACCGTTAAAAACCAAGAGAGAATAATCAGCATTGCAGCT